CCCCCCCAAGCACAAAATATACCTGAATATGTTAATTTGAGCTTTTTAATGTATATACAAATATTTTAGACCAGTCACAATTTCATTGAGTATATACTGTATTTACAAAAATTACAATAGTTTAGTCAAACAGTAAGCCTGAACATTGATAACCTCTGTCACTACCAGATATGACAAGATTTTTTTTTTAAGTTAACTATTTTGATATACATACATCCTAATACTTTCATGCATCCATAAAAACAGTTGGGATGGGAGTAATCAAAACGTAAGTGGGGAAGGGTAGACAAAGTTTAATGATGAAGTGGTATTTGTGAAAGTATGAGTATCCAGAGTTGTTTGCCATGACAAAAACCTGATACAAAGCTAACGTCATTTTCATTATTAAAAAAAAAGTACATTATAGCAATGAGATCCTTTTTATTATTAGGCATAGGTCACAATATCTACAAATGTAAATGAGAAACAATAAACCAACAAATCACAGGAACATGATTCACATTCCAGGTATCTCTTTAAATAAGACAAGCACATACTGGATCAAAACATTAATAAATAACATCCAGTTTGTTACTAGTATCTTAAGGTCTTTTATATAAAAGGAGACTTATATGTTGGTTTCACACCTTCAATTAATGGTAGTAAATAGTGGACCAATAGAACAAAAGGATGACTTTTATACAGAGAGCACTGTATTCAGACACACTGTCATTGCAGTAATAGTTTCGCCACTTGAGAATTTAAGTGCAACAGCAAGTGGATTGTCTTTAAAAACACCAACTTTATAGACTCACATTAGATATCAACCTTTTCCTTCAACAGGAAGCATGAAGCCTCTCCTTCCTGACCTCTCTCTGCCCTTTCAAAGCTCGGATACAGACACGTGTTGGCAAACGGGATGCTAGTTTTACTTATCCTGCGAAAGGAGAAAGCCAGGAATTGGGGTGAAGAGCATAACTTGCATTTTAGCAAGGCAAAATACTCCAGCTTTAGCATCAGAGATAGTCCCTTGTAACTATTACTGCTTTAGACCAGTACAATCTTTAAGATAATGGAGTTGGGCTGTATTTACTGCTCCACAGATGCTGCATGGCAGCTTCAGAGCGCTCTGGAGCTGCTCAAGGCAGAGAGGTGATGCCAGCAACTTCTCAGTCTGCACAAGGGGAAATATAACCCAGCACCTGGAAATCCACTGAAACTTTCACTGGTTCAGTAGGGTTTTTAATCATTGACATTTCTTTGATGGCTTTAGCTGCTAAGGAGAACTTCATTTGAGATGTAGTACATGTTTGTTCTTCACTTCTACAGATGAGGAAAATGATTTCTCCCACTATTTCCCAAAACTGTCTGTTTAACAAACCAACAACGTGTCGTTTAACATCATATACTTGTTGCTTGCTTTAAAGACACTGTGCTGTGGAATTTCTTCTGCATGTTTCACTGCTGGACTGTGAGGTGAAGTACAGTATTAATGCATAAAGCAGCAATAAGCTGCCACACTGATCTACCCAGGATTCTGCTTCGTCTCTATTCAGGCATACTGTGTTGAGCAGCAAATGGTGACTGTTAGAAGTGTGTCTAAACCAGGTCTGAGCACTTAAATTTGATACAGTTTGATCCAAACCCAGGAAGAAAGCACATCAGAGTTTGGGCTTCCACCACCAGTGAGTGAATTCAACTGAAGTGTCGCCATTTCACAATTCACAAAATAGTAGAAAATTCAGCAGCTACACAGTGTCAGAGACAAAACAATTCTGCCTTTTCCAGAATATGTTCTCTCACACCCCACTTGAATCTACAGGGAGGGGGAAAAAAAGTTACAAGAAACTGTAACCCCGTGGCTCCCACATGGCAAGCCACATGGCTAGAGTTCCTCTGAGCACAAGATTCTTGATACAAGCATAAGGAAACCTTTGTCTTGTTCTTCATGATAAATATTAGGTTCATAATTTTTTGAAACATCTGAATTTCCACCCGAGTTTGGTTGATCTGTGACATTTGTGACAGGAGACGATACAAGCACTAGCAGAGGTCTGCTGTGGAAACTGATAAAATACCTAATACAAGGGTTTTTGCCCTTGGTTTTCAAATTCCGACCAGGCATCATTTAGTTCCATAAATATCATCTTTGCATATTGTTCATACGGCTGCCCTGTAGCCTGGAACAAGAACAGAGAAAGGGATATCACATCTACTGAGACAGACTACATAAAAGTGACATTTTTTAAAAGCGTTAAATTCTCAAGCAGTTAGTTCATTTTAAGCAAATGGCTTTCAGTTATATTTGACAAGAATAAGTCACCTTTCCTGAGGGCTGCTTACCTGCTTTATAGCTTAAGAACTTCATCGTATTTCAGCTGCTCAGCTCCCCAGAGCAGATAACTCCACAAGTTTATGGTAAAGCACTGCAGCCCCAAGACGGGATGAGGACTTTTAATCTAAGCTTTGCCAGAGGCTTCTGCTCAGACTGTATGACAGAGCTGTCGCTTGCCCCATCTGCCTAATAAAAGCAGCATTCCGGCAAGGCTGGGTGCAGCCTGCATCTTCAAGCCTTGCTCTGAAAACTTCAGGATCCCCAGACACTTAATGGTGGAAACTGCATCACTGTAGGGTTTCCCAGACTGCTTCATTGCACATCAGCTGGCACGTGTGATCAGCAAGACCATAAGACAGGTTTGAGACTTGGATAACCCAACTCTTTCATTCCAGAAGCATGCTGAAGGCCTCTGCCCTTTCCTATGTCTTTAATCACACCACTCTTCTGTAGCAAGCGCAATATTCTGTATCGTTGTCTGGCCACTACATCTTAGAGTCAAAGTAAGAGTGAGAGAAGCGGAAGATCTGAATCCCTGTTGCTTAGGGAGGTATAAGCTGAGGGAAGCTTATACCAAGCAGTCTTGACACTGGGCTTGTTTTGTCAGAGTTCTCACCATTCAAAAACCTGACAAATTTTTCAACTAGAATATTCCCACAAAGTTGTTTGAACCAATGAATTAAGCTATAACATGAAATGCTTTATTGCTCACCTCATTTTCAAGAGCAGTGGGAGTTTCCGAACGAGATGAAGCCAAGAATCATAGAATCACAGAATGCTCAAGGTTGGAAGGGACCTCTAGAGATCATCTAGTCCAACCCTCCTGCACACGCAGGGTCACCTGGAGCACGTGGCACAGGACTGCGTCCAAGCGGGTTTGAAGATCTCCAGAGAAGAAGAAACCCTTACCTTGTCAGGATGAACGACAAGGACTGCCCTCCGGTAGACCTTCTTCACCTGCTCTGGCGTTACTAGATCTGCCATGCTAACGGGCTTCCACTTGGTCTCCCCTGCCCACAGGACAGTATGCATTGTGGACAGCAGGGCTCTAATATTTCTCTCCTTCCCCTCAATCCATTCTAGGACCTGGAGAGAAGAATGAGAATTCTCAGGTTATGCCTCACATTACATGTTCCAGAGGAAAAGAGTTTCTCCGTTTGAACAGGAATAACTCCAAGCAGCACCCAGCACTTCTTTACAAGTTTTAGAAAGCGACTGGAAGATACTTGGCAGTCTGTGTTTTGTCTTAACTTTTTTCATTGCTTCTGAAAAGAACATCCCTCATTTAGTCAAAATCCGAGTTTCGCAGACTAGCAAAAATGTTCTTTGTTATTTATGTGGTAGAATAAAATGTTTAACAAACCACTACAGGCCAGAGTTTGATTTTATTTTTCAGAGTAGAAAAAATACCTACATATTTCTATACCTATGCATTCTTTCAGTTTTTCTCCAGCAGTTTAGGACTTTGTCTTTCTGTCACATTAAGAAACTGCAATGTAAGTGTGGAGCACAGCAGTTTATGATGCATTCAAGTTTAGGCACATACCTAACGGAAGGCAAGCACGAGGCACCGCCTGGTGCTAGGGATCCAGCAATGCAGTGGAGCATGTGCATGAGATGAAGTAAGTGCTAAAACAGGGTGATTAATGGCTTTGGCACTGAAGAGTAGGGAAGATTTGCTTAGCTGCCTCCTCACATTTAGGAAGGCTGGTCAGTTCTTAACCCCCTCCACCCTTCAGGGGGAATAGTGCAAGCAGCCTCCATCATGATGAGAGGGAATGATTGTAAGAGCGTAACAAACAACGGTATAGCTTACTTTTAATTTCTCCGGGTCCATCTCCTTAGCCATTTCTTCTTTTCTCATCTCAGCTATTGTTTTGGGTCCTTTCTTGTCTTTGTGAGCATTGAAACCTTGACCAGATAACAAATCTTCAAAGTCTGCAGACACTTTTGGTTTTGAATCTTAAAAAAAAAAAGAAATTCACGAGTAGTATCATGCAATGCTACTTTTGAATTATCAAGCACATTCATAATCCAGAATTTCCTAAATACAAAGTTGACAAGACAAGCAGAGCTGTTGAGCTTTGCATTTCCAAGGATAATGCATCTCAGTGTCACTCATTTAGATCCTAACCTGTTTAGGTGTTTGAGCATTAAGCTGTATTGGAAAGCCCCAACCCTGCGGATACTGAACGCAGAGACGCTCACCAGCATTCGGTGGCCCTTTTCCACGCTCGTTCTGTGCTCCCGGCATGGCTGAGAAGCTCACGTTGTAGTTGGGCTTGTTCTGGGGCGAGGAATGCGGCATGCCCGGCGGGGCCTTGCCCTGCGCCTGCTGCCAGCCGTATCCCGCTCCCTGCTGCCAGCCGGAGCCGCCCATGGGCTGCGGAGAGGGTCTCTGCGGCGACGGGGGGAAGCCCCCGCCGAGCCCCGTCGGGGTGGTGGGTTTGCTGGCAAACGAAGGAGCGCCTGCAAGGTCAGGGCAAAGGGGTGTGCGTTAGTGAACGGGACACCGGCCAGCCTTCTAGAATGATAACCTACAAAATCCCCCCGGCAGCTGGCTCCTTTCCCCTCCCCGTGTAACACCAACTTACTTTGGTACTTTAAACAAGACGTTCAACTTTCCTGCTTTATAAGCAGCCCCTGCCTTGCAAGCTTGCACGGGAATTAGCACAATGGCTTGGGACGGGGGAAGGCAGGCAGCCAGCAGCTGCTGCATGACAGCGGCAACGCCAACTTGATGCACACAGATATTATTTCAATTTACGCTGTGCTGTCCTGATGTCATGCAGCAAAGCTGTGTTCTTCAGCACTTTATTACCTGAGGGGACGCTCCTCTGATTTAGTCTGTGGTGGGTAGGGTGCAGTGTGAGTGCTTTGAGACTAACATGCAAAGTCAACTCTGACTCTGAAACGTGTCATGGAAACTGGGGCAAGCGTTTTTGACATAATCATGAACTACAAAAACATGGCAAATATCCTGCAGATGTCAAGTCTCCATTTGTTTTTGAAACCTGTAACTGGAGATAGAAAAAGGCCACAAAAAAACCCAACAAAAACACAACTTCAATGGCTTTAACATGAGGCTTGGCATCTTTTTTATTTTTCTCCTGCAGAGCAGCTAGCCATCCAGCAGAGGGAACTGGGAAACCTAATTCCAGAACCATGCTGGCACTGACGCAAAGGAGAAAACAAACACCGGGTAAAACCACAACAGCTTAGAGCTGAAAGCAGTGACAAAGGGAAGAAAAATCTATTTACCAGACGCGGAGAAGCTGACATGGGTGTTTTTAAGGAAAACTTAAGTCAGTTGATCAGAATGGCCTTTTTAACATTGGGGGCTAGGGTTTGCAGATGGTTTTTACAAGATAAAACAAGGGCCTATTGAGGAGCCAAGCAAACAGTCATCCGCAGCAGGTGCTATTGCGAACAGGCTGGGGGCCCAGCCTCCACCTTTAGCTAGTGCTGTGAATTAGGGGCAGAGCTGGGAGAAAACCTAGGGTTCCTCATTAAGAACAAGTCATGTCTAGAAAAAGAAACGAGTCCCTAAAGACCCCAGTAGCTTTTAAGAGGCAAAGTCTGTTTCTAGGGACACCTCCAAGGCCACTAGCAACAGTTCTGCAGTCAAAGGCAAATGGAGCAGCATCCTTAGCCTCCAACTTTGTTTAAATTTATGAAGAGTATGTTATACTTGGCGATCTCCATTGCTAACTGCACTATAATCCCAACAAGGTGCTGTCAAGACGTTTCAGTGAAGGGCCAAGTAAAGGAATGTATTTGCAAAAACTTGTGGAGAATCAGGCAGAAGGGAAAATTTGAAGCATGTTCTGAGAGCAATACTGTCATACAGTCAGCCTGGGAGGACCCAGAGAGATCTCTGTCACATCCTGGGTTTGTTCATCCTATTTCTCCAAAATAGAGCAAACTAGTAATTTTTATAAGGAATGCAAACCTGCTAAACTTGCTCCAAGAGTGCCCAAATCAGCAAATGGATCCAGTGTTTGGGGTTTGGGATGATGAGTGGGAGTGCTGTGAAGGGATCCCGTAGGACTGGTGGCAGCTGACCTACTTCCCATACCTAGGCCACCTTTAAGAGAAAAATAAAACAAAATAAAAGTTTTACATGGGCCCAACTCTGTTGCCTATGTTACCAAGGTGCTGTTAAAACAGACTCTACTATTGTTAAGTTTCCAAGCAAAGCCTTGACTCAGTAACCCACACTATTTGCACACCTACTTCAGCAGCCAGAATGTTTCTCAGACTGCCTGCAGGGAGTAGTTCTGACAAATAGGTTGATTTTTCAAATTAAGAGGCTTGAATTAGCTTTGCATAGCATTTTGCCAGGACACACTTATTCTCTCTATATCAGAAAGTGCACTCGTCCAGGTGCCTGGGAGAGCAGGACAACAGGCTCAGCATACCTGTGACAGCCTGGACAAGAGTAACTAAAATCCTGATAAAGGTGTGCTGTATTAGCTAAGTGGCAGACAGTGGGAACCAGTTATTTTCAGGCACTGGCAGCATCTTCCACCTGTCTCTCATCTCTCAGTGCTCCTTAAAGTGTTTTTTTATTAAGTGTCTTGACGTTTTGACACGTACCTGGTTTGCTGGGCCAGTCCCAAGCACCTGAAACATCTGGTTGAATAGAAACTGTTGGTGTGCTAGAAGCTAAGCAGAATGGTTACATATAAATATCTCAAAGTAATACAGCAAAAACAAAATATTCCAGCTTCTAGGAAGAGTAAGGGGCAAGGGAGCAAAAGAGCTAGTACTTTCTTTATCTGCTAGTCTTTATCTACTGTTTGTTAATCAGAAATGAACTTCCCCACTATATGCATTGCAAATTTGGCATTTATTTATGATCTAATACGTGCAGAGGTAGCTGGAGAAAGGCACAGATTTATAGTGTTCATAGATTTGGTCTGGGACTTTATATGCGTAGATATAAAAGCTTATAATTGGAATAACATTTAGCTTATCTTTCTGACTACAACCCAATCCAAGGAAATATTCTACACTGAAAATGGAAAAGTTGGAGAATAAAACAGATCATCACTCACACACATAAACCAGAAAAAAAGCACAGGCCTCCCTTTAACCCTGTATCAAATAAAGTCTTCACTTCTACACAGTTCATCCTGCCAGTAATTCATTATTCATAGGCAGTAGCACTGTAATTCAGTACCTTATCATGCTAGAATACCATTTAAATTCCTTTCATTAGGGCAGCCAGTTCCAAGTATGATCCAAACATCTTATTCACTGAGTTAATATCCGATACCCAAGTTTGGCAAAACAAGGCTACCAACAGTGCCAGTAGCGTACTAGTTCCCTCCTTTGTCATTTTGACTTTCCAGAGAGACTGTCCCACCAAGGCACATGTTTTAGATAATCAGAAACAGAAGAATTTGTATCAGGATGTGTTTTAATCAAAGAAGATTACAATATGAAAATTTTAAGTGGGAAAGGGGAAGGGTAAAGGAAACTCCTAAGGGACAGTGTTTCAAACTAAGCAAGACAAGAAGAAAGTCCAAAGGCAGAGGCGGGGAAATCCTTGCCTTATCTTCCAACAGTCAATTTTAACTGTGAATTTGGCTGGGATTACTATCAAATCTGAAGAAA